TACACATGTTGTTGTTTCTGGATTTGGAGTGATAACACCGAATGGCAATAAAGTCGACGTACTACATTCAGTGTCGGTGCCAATTGTTGATTACGATCTATGCTATAAAAGCTATAAAAGCTATAAAGGGCCCGGAAAACTAACGAAGAATATGATTTGTGCTGGTTTCTATGGGGTCGGTGGGAAGGATGCATCCAAAGGCGACAGTGGAGGACCATTGGTTTATTCCGGCAATTCAGATCCGATTTTATACGGTGTTGTCTCATGGGGAGCCAAATGTGCCGATCCAAATTATCCGGGAATTTATACAAAAGTCTCTGTTTACCGTGACTGGATCAATAATGTCAATTGAAATGCTAACATTTATGGCAGCTGTTTTTATTATGAAGTTTGATTTGAAAAAATGCAACAAATTATGTTTCATTGAAATTTAATATGTACCAAAATCCCATTGAAAAGTCCAATTTCTTGTTTAAATATTGTTTGGCCATATGGGCAAACATTGATCGATATGTCATTGAGAGTACACACCATACAAGGTGCCACATTGCACATACACAAGCACAGCTTCCATATGATTTACAACGTGCTTTGACATTCTCTTTATTTTGGCACTAATTTTCGCTTTATGTGTATCTGGACGTGTTCTATTTAGCATTCTCAATTCAAATAACAGTAAGTATTTTTACTGGCATGGATTTCGTTGTCTTCATTTAAGTGAGTGAAAAAAGTAATTTCCGTGTCAACTGTAGAATTTCACACATTTTTCAAAAAGAAAAGTGACAACATATTTTGATAAACATCTCATTTTTAAAGCTACTTATACACAATATCTGTCATTACTTGGTGTTTGCCGCTTTTCTTTTGATACAAATTGGTTGAATCATGTCTAAGAGTGACACGCCTAATTCGTTCTATATTAGTCATTCTTTCGGTGTTCACTACAACTGAAATCTAGAAACGACTTGTTCAAAAACCTAGTGAAATAAACTTAAATAAAACTGATATAAGAATTTCAACAAAATAAGAGCAATTTTTCGCCGCAACAATACATGAATCAAATCCTTGTTTGTGTTTGCCTTTCGATTTGGGCTAATTTTGATCGAAATGTCAAGCTATAGCGAATACGCGCCAACCAACCAGCTCGCATCGCATACATACAAACATTGTTTGACATTTCCATACCATCACACAAACGGCAAATCCCTTCTGCTTTTAGAATTCACAGGAGTAGCACGTGCTACTAGAAGAACACGGTGCTATTCGGAAAGTTAGCCTAACGATTTTTTTTATGAACCAAGTTAAAGAATAGTCAAAAATAAAGAAAAATCGACCATTTTTGTTTGGAATCAGTAGTTACTGGTGGGCCAGTCAAATAAAATTCGGGAAATTTGAAAATTAATCGAATCAATTTCATTGGGTTGAGTGAAGAAAGCAGTGAGTACCTTTTGAGATGTTAAAAATGTATTTTTATTGTTAACAATGTATTCAATATTAAATATTGTTAAGTAATCGCTTCATTTTCAACAAATTCAAGAATCGTTTCTATTTCGGCTGTGTTTCTATGACACATTCCATGTAAATTTCGCGCTATAAAGTTTAGTGGCAAAAAAGTAATAATTTATTACTAATAAACGGTCATAGGAGGCCTTGAATTTTTTTCCTCTTTTAGTTCAAATAACAAAGCTAATGAATGTCGTTCAGATAAATTGTCTGCGCAATACGGAATGCTATAGGAAATGACCACATTTTGATTTTATTTCAGAAAAAAGGGTCAAAATATGGCACGAAAGAAACGAAATGCACACGGATTCAAATCCAATATCCCGGCCAAACAAGATCGTAAAGCGGCAGAAGATTTGATAAAATTAATGGAACAGATGAAGCAAGACGGCAAAGCAATCCATCCACATCAGTAAGTTTTTCGTCTGAATAAAAGAAAATCGATTAGATTCAAAAATTATTCATTGTTTTAATTAGATTTAGAGGTGAAGTCCACAAAGAATTATGCAAAATTTGGCGATGCGCTGTTTCTGCACGAAGCCACAACCGTCTTCGTGCAATATTAGAATTCCGAACAAAGGAGGAATGGTTCCGTACTCGGTACGACAAAGTGTCACCACCATCAAAGCAAACCTTGCAACGTCGCAAAGCGACCAAAAAGCAACAATAAAAACTGCCGCAATTACGATAAATAAAAGGAATAATGGAACATGCTCGTGCACGTGAAAAATATAAATAATCTTGTTTCTGCATGTTGATTTTAACAATGTAATTGATCAATTGGCAATAAATATTTCATTCACTGAATTAAAATCAAATCGCATTTATAAGTTTTATTGATATATCAACTAACTTGTCACTTGGGACAATACACACTAGAATAAAGGATCTATCACAAATAGAAATTCATGTCTTAATGTGATTAAAAACTCATTTGCTGTTACTTTAAATTAAAACTTGAACTAATGTTCTATTCGTGTATATTTTATGTATGTTTTCATTAAAGTTCACACAATTTCGTCTACAGAAAAATTCTTAAATCTAAATTATCTTGGGAAATGAACCAGTTGAAATAATTAGATGCAATGAAAAGAATGGAAATTTTTGAAGAAAACTGTAAGTTGAAGAAGTTACGACCAATATCGATGTTTGCAGTTATAACGCTGTAATGAGTAAGTCATTGATGATTTTTAACGATGAATAGTATTCAAATGAAGTATAAGAGATTCCTTTATTTTATAGCGCTTCTCGCATATGTCGCAACGAAATGGTTTTTCATCCGTATGATTCCGCATATGTATCTTCATATTGGATTTATTTCGATTAGAAAATTTCTTGCAAATATAGCATTCGTACAATCGATGGTTGCAACCATTTTCATGTTCGTCTTTCTCGATTTCTGTTGAAAATCCACGGAAGCACTTGAAACAATGGAACGCGAACTCGGTGGTATGGGTCTTCATGTGCACATTCAGGTGAGCTTGTTGTGTAAAACGTTTCAAGCAACGATCACATCGATAAGGTTTCTCACCTGTGTGAGTACGCACATGAATTTGTAAATTGCCACTATAATCACTGCTATATTCGCAAATCTGGCACTGGAATCGTTTTACTTTTTTCGGATTTACGTTGATTGTTTCGCCGGTTCTTTTACGAGTGTTTGAACCAGCGACCGATGGTTTCGAATTGTGAGTGCCAACCCGATTTCTATCTTTTTGAGCGTTTATATCATTCACCGGTGGTAAAAGCGCTTCAGCAAAAGTGCGTCTTTTGTTTGCCGAGCTTTTGATCTGGTCCAAGTTTTCGCCATAATTTTGAACGTTTGACATATTTTGATCGGGATCATCGTCAATGATTTCGATTAAATTGTTTTCAGTCGGGTTTTGTCTTTTGATCGTTGTCGAACCAATTACAAAATTATTGACGCCTGATGTCACGGTGCTGGACAGACCTTGTCTTCCTGCAAAATCAGTACATGGATAAAAACGATCAAATGAGTCTAGACCTCGTGCCGGTGTATTTGTGAAGAGATCAACATCATCGTTTCTAATTTCTGTGTAGCTATTCCCGTCTTCCAACAAGCAATCGAATTCAAATTTGTCATACGTTTCCAACAATCTGAAGAAGCATTCAAATAGAAATATTCATTTATATTGGTTCAAGTCGAAATTTGTTGCAAAACCAAAAGCAAAGAAACAAAACTCACCGATTGGTCGACGTACGTAAAAATATCTCCTTGAAATTGGATGGCATTGACGAACCGTTACGGTTAAGAGACATTCTCATGATGCGTAATGAATATATTGCTTGACTTTCAAACTTGGCCAACATGTTGTTCATCTCCTCTATCCAGTTTGATGTTTGCATATTCATCTACGTTTGGAGATTTAAACAAATATTTTGATAAAAAGGATCTTTGGATTGTTTTTAAAGCACAATGAATGAAAGCTTGTAAAAGTTTGCATCAGACGCCATATGGACCATATAGACGAGAGCGAAAGTTTTTCCAAAAAATATGACGTCATCAAAATTATGAGAAAATGGTACAATTGGAGTGGCTTACCTTTGGTTTTTAGGTTATGCGCGAGTAAAATGAAAAACTCGGTGATATTTAATTGGAAAATGTATTACGAAACACCCTTGATCACACTACAGAAGCTTGCTATAAACGAAAATTTGGAATTTTTCTGATTTTTCAACAAAATCAATGGTTTGGCGCGACAAAATATGTTCTCTGCTCCGTTCAGTGAGACGTCAACGAGTATTTTGAGTTAACATAATGACAGAAACAAACATCATGTTTTAATTTGTGAATTGAATCCGCCCAATATCGTGCAAAACATCGGCGAATTCAGTCCGTTGCACAAAATGAAATAGATTTCCAATGTTTTCATATATACAATAGATTCATTTTTTATTTTCATACCTCTTTAATTGATAAATTAAATCACTTTATTTTTATTTGTAGAAGTCTTTAACAAAGTTTTGCAAAAAAAAAGAATCACAAATGATTTTCTTCCGTTGTTACCAGTGACATCTGGATCGAATTGAAAATGATGCCGCGGGAGGTGAACCTTCTAAAAAAAGCGCGAGATAGAGGGTCTAAAATTGAAATTGAAGGAAGCCTTTTTAGTGCTCGAACTGTGATAAGACTTTTGCGTTGCGATGAGAATTCATAATATATGAAGCAACACCACCAAAAACTGGCCTTCACTCCCCTGTAGCCGTGTGTTTCTATATGAGTTCCATGCCTTTGACTCGTACCTCACTTGCAAAATTCACAGCAAAAGTATTTGTAAAATATTTGAAGACTTTATTTACTTAATTGTTTTTACAATATAAAAGTATTTGAATAAAAAACTGAAATGTCACAATGGTTTATATGATTTTTGGAAGTTGTAATTTTAACAATTTTTTAGCGATATTCGCTTGATATAATTTCAAAAAAATTCCTCCAACCACTGGCTTCAAAACAGAATAGAAAAATAATTTTTAAAAACTATTCGTTGCGAAATCGACTTTTTGAAGGTTTTGCAACTTTAAAATGGAAATGGTCTTGAAACTTATAAATCACTGTCTTCAGAGAGGAAGGTGCTTTGATCAGATGTCAAATGCTTCTGTTTGTTGTTAAATTGCACTAGTTCCAATGGGACAAATGAAGTTGACGTTGCTTTGCAACGATTTTTCGTACTATCGCTGTCGTTGGTGTCGGATGCTGATTGTTTTTTGCCGCTCGACTTCTGACTTCGACGTGTATGTCGTTTTTTCGGTGTCTTAATGTTTTGGCATTGTTCGAATACAATCGGTTCATCTTCGATAAAAATCGGTTTCTTTTTTGTGTTTCCTCCAGGAACATCATCAACCTTAATGTCTGGATTCTGAAAGTATATCTTCGTGAATTAGAGAATTCTTAATAATTTCCATTTCATGGAACTCACGTCTTCGTTAACACCAACGACAACTGTTTTTTGATTTCCTTTCGACTTGTCAACTTCCACTGAAACAGTGCCTTCTTCTTTGACTTCTTTAATCGCAGGTACTTTATGCTGTATCAATAGAACAAAAATCAATAAAAGCTGTTCTTCGAAAGTAAATTCAGACACTTACAACCAACTGAACACAATCAGCATTCGCCTCTATTTTCACCGGCTGTTTTTCAACTGGAGTGTATTTAAAAGCTGAGCCAACGTTATGGTCCTGCGTTGGTTCCTAAAAATATTTTTTTCGTTTCAGTCATGATGAAAAAAGATTTGACTACTTTTTTCATTACAAAAGAACCATGGCAAAACTTACAAAAAATTCCATTATTTCCTGAGTATTCTTCGACAATTTTGGAAAACCATTATTTATCGCCATGACTGAATTCATTTCACTTGGATATGGTGTTGACTGAAAAATTGAACGATTAGGAACATCCCAAACAATATTCTTCATTTCAGTATCATCTTCCTCGGTCTTATTTGCACCTTCATCAACTTGCGGCAACTGTACATTCTTGCGATTGATGAATTTCAGAAGATCCGTGTACATTAGACGATACTTCTCTTGGTTGTTGAACTGGTCGATGTCTTTGGATTCTTTGCATGATTCCCCAACGACATCGTCAAACAATTTTTCAATGAATTTCTCCGGCGTGGTGTCCAAGTGAGTGTACAAGATCTCCAGAACTCGTGACTGCAACAAGCCCAGCTTAGGGATGATCTTCGCAATCGCTTTGCTGAAATACACAATTTTAGAACAATTACCCTTAAAATGATGCTTCCGAAGTAACAATCAAATAAAAAAAAGTAAAATACGTCACGATTCACTTATTTTTCGTGAAAACTCAATGGAATTCGCTTACAATTTCTTCAATTGATGATTGAAAACGCGACTTTTGACTGTCGCCGGGAAATATTCCATTTGCTTCAGCCACACCGTTGTGATTTGGTCCAAAAATGCATGCTGAACGTTTGGTAATAACAATACATCACACATTGACTGCGCTATTTGCATGTAATGGTCTGCCATTTCCTTTTCGTGCAAATCCTATCGAAAATAACATGTTTTGTGGTAAACAACGATCAATAAATTGTATCCTACTCACATTGAACAGTTTCAAATTTTGAACAAAAGCCTCACACAATGCGTCACCATTTTCTTGATCCATTTGTTGAACAATAAAACACTGCATTTTACCAATATCAGTGCTCACCAATTTCTGTGGGGAGAAAATCCATTTTTTAAAACGACTCAAGAAGAGACGGTAGGGAATTGAATGAGCAAAGAAAGGGTCCCGAGATTTTGTTGGAAACAAATTTCTACTTTTCAATCTATCGGTTCTCTTTGATCCCTTCCAAAGCTGTTATTGACACCGCAGAGTGTTGTACACTTATCTACACTTTCTCTACACTTAATTGAAACTAGTATAAATTTTGAAAAAAAAAAGCGAAATTATATGGAATAAGTGCAGAAGGTCACTAGTTCCTGCACCTCCTCGGTGTCAATAACAGCTCTGACCCTCCGGAAATAACAGAACATACCTCTTTGAATCTTGGATTTTTTGTAAAATAGTCGATTTGATCAAGGATCTTATCGCTCAATTTACTGGGGTTTTCTCGTGGAAACTTCATTTTCACTTCAAAAGTTTGATGCTCAATGTTTTTGCTGAAAATAAAAAAAAATGTTTTATTCCATATTGAAAATGATGGTTTCGACTGGTTTTTGTAAAAAAGAGAGAGATAAAAATCGATTTTGGAACCAATCCAACACAAACAACGACTCTGACGATGAAATTGAACAGGAAACATCAAATTCATTTAGTTTAGTTTGCGATCGTTGTTTGAAAACACAATGTTAATAACAACAAATGCCGAACCGAACACTGTTCAACCGAACAATGGGCTACATTGTTCTCTTGTTAAACGCTTGAAACTTCTCTGACTTATCGGCAATGAGTCCATCGTTGTCGTCGATGTTGGGTGTAACATGAAATACTCTGTTGTTGTTGGGGTTTCCTGATGCCTTATCAATGAGCGGTGAACAGTGATGCGCTCGCATTGTTTTGTATGTTTTTGTATTTCGATAAAAAAAAAATTCTATTCTACGCAGTTGGATGGAATTGAATTCAAAAACTTTTTGGACCTTTTTGCAGGAACTTCGTGTTAATAAGCTTACTTTTGCTTTGCACAAAAATATTGAGTCAGGTAGATTTGCTTGCAAATAAAGTCTTGCACAATAGGTAAAAATAAAACTGTATATACCGTGAAATAATGAATTGTTCTGATCTTGATTTGTAACTAATTTTTTTGTGTTAATTGGCATAAACACTTTACCTGATAATGACTTGGAAGCACAAAAAGGGCGATTTTTCTTAAATCAATTGCTTTAATTATACGATGGACTTTGAGAGAATTTACGTCTTATATTTAATGCACAAACAAAACACGATATAGAATTCGCCAAAATAAATTCAGATTTCGATTTTTTAATGATTTTAATTTATATATTGATGTCTTTTCTCTGTGGTTTGTACAGACGTCAGCTCCGGTTGCTGTATGAATTCTAACAAAGAGAAAAGTGACGACTTGTCAGAATTGCACATCTGACACATGCGATATGTCAATGTGTTGGCATTAAGGAACACGAATACGAAGGAGGAGAATATGATCGTACACGATGTAAGATGTAGAGGTGCAATGTAGTTGTGGCCTTTCTTATGGAAATCGATGTGGTCAACTTCACGCTGTAATGCAGTTACTAACGCCAAAACGAACAAACTAACAGAATCAAAGACGCGAAAATCAATACGTGATAGATTTGTACACGAATAAATTGAAAGGTAAGTGTTTGAAAGTAAATTGAGTTGGCAATCAACATAAAATGGAATAATTCAAGTTAAAAGGGCGAGAAGTAAATTGGAATAAAGTTGATTACCGCGAAATATTGAATTTCGTAATTTGTTAGGGAAAAGATCATGCAAAAATGCATTGGTATGGTTGTTTGTCATAAAAAGAATTTTGTATAATTTCATATTTAATTTGATGCCGTTCTAAAATTAGAAGAACTCTCGTTTTCTTGAGTGGTAGTTCATCTCGTTGTGTTTTTTGGATGAATAAATTTAATTGAATTAGTTCCTTTGGAGTCTCTGCCTTTCTCCGAATTTTTCTATGATGTCATTTCGTGGTAGACGCTTTGCACCATTTACAGTCACACACATTCATAAAGCTTTGTATTCTTGTAATGCGTTGTGAGTGTGTGCAGTTTTTGATAGACATGAAGTATTTTGGACAACAGTGTATGTTTTGAGAATTTGTTGAGGTTATGGTCAGAAAAAGGAACATATTTAAACATATGCGTTGTTGGTAATTTATAAGTGGATTTTAATTTGGCAAACTAATTTAATAAAAATAAAATAGATCCCAATAGCAAAATTGTACG